AGGAGGAGTAGCCGGGACTTGTACCGGTGGCCCATCATGGGATAACAGCACTTTAGACCCAGGCGTTAACAAGTTGAGCCACAGTGCCTGCTCCCTCACATAACTCTTTATACCCAAATGTGGGCCATTTTGGATAAAATGAAAATTCTTAGCCCCGGAGGTAGATGGGGCAGAAAAAACCTGGCTGAACTTAATCTTTTCTTTCTTTCCTTTCTTTCTTCCTTTCTTTCCTTCCTTTCTTTCTTTCTTTCTTTGGACAGGCAAAGTGGACAGTGAGAGAGAGAGACAGAGAGAAAGGTCGTTTTTGCCATTGGTCCACCCTCCAACAGCCGCTGTGGCCTGCGCACCACGCTGATCCGATGGCAGGACCCAGTCCTGGTCTCCCATGGGGTGCAGGGCCCAAGCACCTGGGCCATCCTCCACTGCACTCCCTGGCCACAGCAGAGAGCTGGCCTGGAAGAGGGGCAACCGGGACAGAACCCGGCAGCCCAACCAGGACTAGAACCCGGTGTGCCGGCGCTGCAAGGCGGAGGATTAGCCTAGTGAGCCGCAGCGCCGGCCTCTTTATTTTTTTTTTAAGATTTATTTTATTTATTTGAAAGATAGAGTTACAGAGAGAGGTAGAGACACAGAGAGAGGTCTTCCATCCACTGGTTCACTCCCCAGATGGCTGCAACAGCTGGAGCTGCGCCAATCAGAAGCCAGGAGTCAGGCGCCTCCTCCTGGTCTCCCATGTGGGTGCAGGGGCCCAAGGACTTGGGGCATCCTCCACTGCTTTCCCAGGCCATAGCAGAGAGCTGGATCAGAAGAGAAGCAGCTGGGACTCGAACCGGCACCCATATGGCTTCAGGCATGGGCTTTAACCTGCTGTGCCACAGCACTGGCCTGAACTTAATCTTGAAAAGCTACTATCTCTCCTGCCTGCTACTCAAACTATTCTATGGCTTCAGTCACAAAATAGTGAAGAAAAACAACGGGAGTTTGTTTTTATCTAAAAGCAACAGCTCACTTTCTAGGTAAATGTGCTCAAGACATCACTAAGACTTACAAACCAACATTTGAACCAACTGTTCTATTCTGGTGCTAACAAAATGCAGATGATGGGGTGGGCATTGAAGCATAGCAGGTAAAGCTGCTGCCTAAGATCCTGGCATCCCATATGGGCCCTGGTTCGAGTCTCCCTTTCACAAGCCATAAACGCACCGGTTCACTGCTCCACTTTTTTTTTTTTTTTTTTTGACAGGCCGAGTTAGACAGTGAGAGAGAGACAGACAGAGAGAAAGGTCTTCCTTTTCAATTGGTTCACCCCAATTGGCCACTACGGCCTGCGCACTGTGCTGATCCAAAGCCAGGAGCCAGGAGCTTCTCCTGGTCTCCCATCCGGGTGCAGGGCCCAAGCACTTGGGCTATCCTCCACTGCCTTCCCAGGCCACAGCAGAGAGCTGGACTGGAAGAGGAGCAACCGGGACAGAATCCGGCGCCCCAATCAGGACTAGAACCCGGGGTGCTGGTGCTGCAGGTGGAGGATTAGCCTAGTGAGCTGTGGCGCCGGCTTCACTGCTCCACTTTCAATCCAGCTCTCTGCTATGGCCTGAGAAAGCAACAGTGGACAGCCCAAGTGCTTGGGCCCCTGCCCTACCTGGGAGACCAGGAAGAGGCTCCTGGCCCCTGGCTTCCTGCCCAGCCCCAGGTTGTCTCTCTGTGTCTGTTCCTCTCTAACTCTGCCTTTCAAATAAAATAAATAAATCTTAAAAAAATGCAGATGATTTTAATATTAACAAGACTAGCAATTATGATTTTGATTTCAAGTAAGTAGACCAGATATTTGGCATTAAGGAATTTAAGAAATTTAATAAATTCTAGTTGGTAAGGATGTAGACAAACTCTCCTACATTGTTGGTGGGAATGCAAATTACTACAGCCACTATGGAAAATGCTCCTCAAAAAAACAGAAACAGAACTACCAAATGATCCAGCAATCCCATAACCGGATATATATCCAAAGGAATTAAAATCAGTATGTTGAAGAGAGATCTGTAATCCTGTTTGCTGCAGCACTATTCATAATAGGCAAGATGTGGAATCAAATAAGGTGCCCACCAACGGATGTGTGGAGAAATAAAAAGTGGTGTATATACATGATGGGATATTTTCAGCAATAAAAACAAGGAAATTCTGTCATCTGCAACTGGATGAACTGGAGGACATTAAGTGAAATAAGTCAGGCATAGAAAGACAAATATAACATGTTCCCATTTTTAAGTGGAAGCCAAAGTTTATCCTAAAGTAGAGAACTAAATGGTGGGTTCCAAGCCTGGGGAGGGTACAGGGAAGACAGAGACAGAGAGGGTGGCTAATAGGTGCAGGGCAGTTTGATAAGAGAAGTCATTTTGATGTTCTATATCACAATATGGTAACTATGATAACAATTAATTGAATATTTCAATATAACTAGTAGAGGATTTCAAATGCTACCAATACAAAATCACAGATGTCTGAGGAGACAGATCTTTATCCCCACTCCGGTCATTCTACACTGTATAAATTTAAATGGCATATTGCGAACATGTATGCTTACTGTGCACCAATTAAAAATACCTTAACAATAGAGGCTGGCATTGTGGTGCAGCAGGTTCAGATGCAGTCTGTGATGCCAGCATCCCATGTGAGTGTTTGGTCAAGTCCCAGCTGCTCCACTTCCAATCTAGCTCCATGATAATGTACCTGGGAAGGCAGCCATCCACATGGGAGACCCGGATGGAGTTTCTGCCTCCTGGCTTCCGCAGTTGTTACAGCCATTTGAGGAGTGAGCCAGCAGATAGAAGATTGTCTCTCTCTCTCTCTCTCTCCTCCTGTCTTTCCCTCTCTGTGTATAACTCTGCCTTTCAAATAAAATAAATCTTAAAAAATACTAAAAACAAAAAGGAACTATTTTTACTTATGAAGATATGATGATGGTATCATAGTTTTTTATATATATATATAAAGTTTATATATATATATGCCCTTATCTTTTAAAAATCACATACTTGGGCTGGCATTGTGTCCTCTGCCTTTCTAACAATTGCAAGAAAACAAGTTAAACAACTTGGGCTTACTTCTGATCCAGCAGATAACTGGATTTATGTATTTTTCAATGTCATGTTATAAATTCTTATTTGTAAGCATAGTTTTAAAAGCTGGAGTCTTTAAAAATGTATGTATTCAGTTCTGTGTCCCAGCATTGTTGCTTACAATTGCACCAAAGGACAAACTCCCAGAGAAAGCCACAAATCATCAGACCTCTAGAGCAGCACTGTGTAACAGAACTGTCTGTGAAGATGGGACTGTTTTATACCCTATGCCTTACAAAACACTAAGTAGCCTCTAGCTACTCGTGGCTATGGGGCACATGAAGTATCTATCACTCATGGGACTAACGAAAAAATTCTTCCATTTCATTTCTCTTCACTTCTTTTAAATACCCACATGTGACTAGTACCTGCCAAAATGGGTAGTATGACTCCAGAGTATCTAAGAGAAGAAAAACAAACACACATAGTTTTACTTAATATCTAACATTTATTAAAAATTGAAAATTACAGAAAAGCATGAATGTTTGGCTGCATTAAACAAGCTGACTTAACTTACCTCTAATTAATAAATGAAAGCATTTTACTCACAAAACAAATTTTAAGAATAAGGTCTATGCCAAAAAAAAAGCAGCCAAGACATTTCCCAAAGGAGAGAGCAACCAGATCTCCCTCTAGTGGCAAGAGAGAGAGTTGATGCTAAAAAGGCTGAATCGCTCCAGTATGTCTCCTAAAACTGCCCACATTTCCTTTATAATATTTTAACTTAAAATTTTTTTTTAGATAAAAAGGAAAGATAAATCTTACCTTTGGCCAGAAAAAAATCAGATCTAATTTTCACTTACTATGAATGCTAATCTCTCTAGAAGTTTGAACTCTCTGGAAAAAAAAATATTTTGCTAATGATACTTGGCAAATTAGGGTTTTCACCAATCAAAAGTTTAGAGTCCTGGACCCAAACCGTGAGCAAAAAGAAACTCCTCTCTGTTGGGAAATGTTCTGGGATGGAGCACGAAAAGGAGCTGATGTGAAATACAAATGCAAAATATAAAGTAGGACACAGCAGCAGGGTTTGTAAAAACTGAAGACACATCAAAAGAACCAAAAAGAATGGTACTATTACCAGAGTTCCTAATAACCAAAATGACATTTCCCATTCTGCTATTCAGTTTCAAAAGACAGTTCTGCCACATTGATAGTTTTAATTACAACCATACACACTCATTTAGATCTAACTACTGAACTACTTTCAAGTACAAGGAGAAACTCAAAATAGAAATGACTTGTGTGTTATAGCTACTGTTACGCCCTCACAGCTTCAGGAAAATCAGGCTTTATATACACTGTAGTTAAGTACAGAATGTACAGAAGAAAGTTTTATGTACAAAAGTGCATTAATATAGTAATACATTTAGCAGGAATACAGGAAAAAAATCCTGGTTAACTATCTGCTACGTTACAGATTTAAGACTACTTGAAGATTCTCCAAACTAGTCAACTTCCTACTTGCTTTGGTTATGGTATTGATGCTACATGACTAATCTTTGAAACTAAAAAACAAAACAAAAAATATTCCACAAACAATTTGAAATTTTTAACCATCTGTGAAATGCTTCACGTATACTTGTGTTAATTGTTAATAGCTTTTGACAGCAATCTTATTAAATTCCCAACACAAAGATTTAGAATGGATGATACTTATCTAAATCAGGGTGCTCAAATAGGAAATTAAACTGATCTGCTACACAGGAACAGACATCATCCGCTCCATTTCTAAAAGCCTCACCTAGATAACCTAATTCCAAAGTCTCATTTGAAATCCAATAGGTCAGCTACTGTTAAAGAGCGAGCTGTACCACAAAACAAGTCATGGATTCAGGCCACTGTTCTTAGAACAATTCAGAACAGTAAGTGTTAACTTGTCATTTGTACATATTAATTCTATAACTACCTTTACATAGTTAAAATGTATATGCATAATTAGAACAATTCTCCCTTTTTTCACTCCACAAACAAAGAACATAGATTTCCACAGGTTCCAGTGACCACAAAGATTCAACAAAAATTTGACAATACAGAAAGCACTAAATACTGAATTCAGAGAGGACCAAATCAGGTTTTCTCAGTTCAGTATGAATGTCAAATTAAAATTTGTCACCTATAGGATCTAGGCTAAAAGATTAATCATCTTAATTTAAAAATGATTGGAGGGGGAAACTGAAAATAATTTTATTATAGAAGAAAATAGAAAAACTAAATGTTAGTGCATCAACTTAGAGCTTCAGCTCTACCATGAAATTTCCTTACTCCTAACAGCCAGTTACTTAGAGGAATGTTCAGAATTCCTTCTAAGCCTTTTGGAATAAGCTAATTACTTTCCAAAGAAATAAGCATTCTAAGGAGTTATGTTTCACATACTATACTGATAGAGCCTAGTTCAAAATCTCTCTCAGCTAGTTCTCACCCACTTAGCATAATTTAATTTTTAAGATAATATTTATCTTACTTTATCAGACTTAAAAACTAATCCAAAGTTCCCACAGTATGATGGTACTTCAAAAGGTTCATGGAAAAAATGGAATTAAATGTATAAATTTATTTGGTGCTGCTATATAATGTATACCATGAAAAAATTATGCCAGATTTCAAAAGTTTTTGTGCCAAAATAAACTCACACTTTCAATTCCATTTTCCACAAACTTTATGAAGCACCCTCATACATGTGTATACAAATACTTATTTCCTAACAGTCCTCTTCAGGATTAAATCGACTAGTTTAAACGTGTTGAATGTCATGGCACTCAACATCAAAACTATTATTTGAATGCAGCTGGGAATTTTCCTACCAACTATCCCAAACTATAGCTTACTTTCCATCAATTCTAAACAAGCATCCTTCTTGAAGATAAAAGTGCTAAAAGGTAATTCAATAAAAGCAAAGGGGCGAGGAGTGTTTCAGCTATTACACAAGTGAATTCAAAGATTCCCTAAAGTTAATCAGAGAAATCGACTTGCTATATAATCTCTATTCTCAAAGTACTTATGCCTATACCTTGAAAATGATCTTCCCAGGTCACTAAAAGTTAGCTGGGTTTAAAACAAATCACCTTGGTAGCTAGGATCTCTTTCAGGAAAAGTAAAAGTTTTTAAAAAAATCATTAAGCAACATTTTAGATAACTTTTAAGGTTCTTCAATGATCTAGCTAAGCCAAAAATAAGAGTTATACAAATGAAATTTAAGGTTTGAACATTTTTGTTTTGTTTTAGTCCTGTTATTACTGATTGGTTCAACTTAACAACTTTGCTTACTGATCTCCAATACTATGGGCATTTATATAAAACAAATTACAACATTTCGATTATTTTTGAGTTTGGAAAAATCTGATAATTGACAAAAAGTACAGGGTTCACTACTTTTAAGGCACATGAGGCTATACAGAGTGAGCCATCAACGAAAAAGTTTCTACTACAGAACATGAAACAAACAGGATTCTACATTGGTGTACACAAACATTTTTGGCTTAAATACAAAGACATTTAATAATTTTACGATTTTTAAAGCTCATCAGAATCTGGATACCTTATAGCTTCTTGTAATTTTTCCCTTATGAGGGGATTTATACATCTCAAGTTAGCTTTTACAAGTATAAAGAGTCAGTATTTCAGAAGTCAGTTTCCAGGTTTAATTTGGTCTTATCTAATTTACTTAAGGGACAGAGGAACTGGACAAAAGTGCCACAGCCTAACAAAAATGAAACACTAAAAAAGTGCTATTATACTCTACATTCTTGTTGGGACAGAACGAACTAGCCCTTTCTACCCTACTCACATTACACTACACTGCCTTCCTTCGATCAGCTGCAAAACTAGAAAAATACATGCCCTTTTGTTTAGTCCAAGGTTCACACTTTAAAAGCTGTGGTAGGGATCCACTACTACACAATCTCTAATAAAATGTTTCTGGATAAATCAGTGGAGACTTTTCCCATGCCCTCAGTTAACAAGATTTATTTTAAAAGGGAGATACTTATGTCTCCAATGTCAGTTTTCTACAGGTGAGCAGTGACACTGGAACAAATAAGTTTCACCTTTGTATGAACTCATTAGCTAAGGCTTATATTTTTAAAAAATACCGATTTTTAAAATTGAACTCAGAAATACATCAGGTAGAACAAATTATTACTTAGTTCAAGAAAAAGATAATTCAAATGAATTATTTACATGAGGCATCAAAACAGAAGAAGTAATATAGCATGTTGTCAAAGACAATATAACTTTTTGTTTATGTCGTTTTGTGCTGGTTTCTTTTGGGAAGGATAGAGAAATTTTAAACATGTGATTACAAACAAAGTTGAATCTTCTTGGATTATAAGCAGGCCAAGTTGTTTAACCTGCTTTCTTCTGATTGATAGAAATATTTTCAATCTCCTCCAAATCGACTTTATGGGTCACCTCTAGTTTACAAGGCTGCAAAGACAGTGCATCCAGATTTACACAAGCTCTCATGCCACAGTCTATAAGCACTCACATCCTTACAAGCTTTCAAATGTGGCTTTGTGGCACTTTGGTAAACGTGTCCAATAGTGACTTAAGCTAAATCTAAGGTAGTAAGATTATGTGACTGTTGGGAGAGTAGAACTGGTCTTAAGTTACCTCATGACCCTGTTTAGGATTTTCTTTTACTGGTCACCGTCAAGTGAATAGTTCCCAAGTATTAGATAAATGCTGTTCAGTGTTCTCCAAAAGGGGCCTATTTTTCGTGAAGAACAGGTAAAGAGAACAGGCAATTAGTCTGTGGGATTTTGCTTTTGCTACAAGCAGGTAGACAATTCAAACCTATTTGCTCTTCTCTCCATTTGCTCTTCCTAGACTTAGAAGCACAAACAAGGAGGTTGGCCCATTCCATCTTCGGCAGAGTATTCCGAGGCCCATCCCTGAACTCTCACTGAGTCCCCTAAGCTGGTTAAGAGCACCAAAAAGAGGGTAGCAGGGAAGTCAGGACTACTCACACTGAAAGTCATATGCACATACTTGCTTTTATATTAGTCAAATTTTAAATTATTACTTTAGTTGTCTTTAAAAGGTTATAATTGAACCACAGATCTCAGCTAAGCTGCACTGTATTTTCATCTTCACATTTAATGCTTCAAACCTTTAAGGAACCAAGATGAAATCAAAATTTCAAAACATGGAATTGTAAAGGTTTAAGTCTTCATACCAACTGAGAATTAACAATGCAAATCAGGATTATTTTTCTTAATGAGCTACCTGACTACAACACAAAGTTAAAAAGAGTAGAAATCCTACTTACCTCTGGACTATATAGTTTTTAAAAATACTGATTACAACTCTTCCTACAGAAAATGACTCTCTAATGTTATCTACAATAAAAACAATTTATGACAGTTGGAAAGCAGCTTGATTGTCAGTAGTATCACTTTCCATCTTTGAACATGTGAACATTCAATGGCACATGACAGAAGTAAAGGGATCACACTATTTCTGATTTCATAATAGCAATCTCTCTATGCAAACATTTGAAGTAAATTTAGAGTTCTATTAATAACCAACAGGCTACAGTGTTTTCTATATCTTGCTGCTCTGTATATTTCTAGCAATTTGTAGGGAAGTTTAGCAAAACTCTAAGGATTTCCATCAGTTAATGTTGAACAGTAACCTGTTCACATACCAGAAAAAAAGATTTATACCAAATATTTAAAAATTAGAGCTGTGCTGGAAAAAAAAATGACCTACAAAAAGAATCAGAGAGACGGATAGGGAGAGAGGGAGAGAGGGTGAGAGGTGGAGAGGGAGAGGGAGAGGGAGAGGGAGAAAGATATTGGTCTTCTGCTTTTGAGATAATTTTACAGCCTAAAACTTCAGAAAGCAATGGACAAGCAGAATTGGCTTTTTGTCTGATTGCTTTCTCCATTTTAATATTAATTAACATAGCATCAAATCTAAAATTTTAGTTCTTAGTAACAACATGATCTTCTCAGTAGTCAGCACTTATAAAAAATGGAAAACAAAAACAAATTGAACAGGAAAAAGATTAGGGCCTGTTTTCAAACCTTTGAGTTAATGAAAAGAAATAGAACTAAAGCTAAAGAAGGCACTATTGTAAACAGCAATCTACACCTTGCCCACACTTCAAAAGAGACTTCCACCAGGAACTGGGAATTGTGCTATGGCCCTTTAGAAAAAATAAACAAAGAAATCATAATATGAAGAAGGAATCTGAATTGTGAGCTCCAAGTACATACACTGACAAACTACTTGTCAGCAGTACCTTGAAATCCTCTGAACTGTGAAAGTACTAGTATTTGAAAAAGCCCACTTAACCACCACAAAGTTCAAATATTCAAAACATTTACCAAAACCAGTGGTTCTTAAACCAGAGTGTGTCTCGGAATAACCTGGCACTGGTTAAAAACAGCTGGGCCTCTCCCCCTCAGTTTTGCTATTCACTAGATGTGGGGTGGGGCCTAATAGTATGCATTCCTAACAACTTCTCAGGTGGTGATGAAGCTGCAGGCCCCAGGACCACCCACTGAGAACCACTGACCTAATTTATTAATGGTACATCAGCACAGCCCTAACCAGAATTTTGGTCATGATGCATGTAAACCAAGGAGGACACAACACTTCAATGCTTAGAAAGATTGCTGATGAATTCACCCTTATTACATCAAAACATCAACATCTGCTTCATGGTCTTCCTCAGTCACTTTCAAGGACAGCACTTCTTCATTAAGGAAGAGCCCACTGAGCCTCTCCTTCCGGGCCTGCCTCTGCTCTTTCAGCTGCCTCTTGCGGAAGGCCTTCTGCTGTAACTTCCGCTGCTTGGATCTCTTCTGTCAAAATAAAAATTCCTAAATCAGTAAGGTTTAGATCTTGGCAGATCCATGCCAAAATACTTTATGGTTCAAATTCTGATTTTTATGAGCTGTTCAAATTGCTCTGCCGTGTGATCCTTTTTCCAAAAGGTGAACCATTGGCTTAGAAGTAAGATTCTATTCTTACGGTATTTCACCAGTGACTCTTCTGATTAGAAAGGCTTGAAACTTGGTCATTTTGGCTAGTTATGGATAACCAGTCATTTCAAGACTTTTTTTTTTTAAATCAAATTAAGGTACATGGTTGTTAATGCATAGCAAGCAAAAAATTAATACTAGGGGACAATATTGAATGCAAATGTAGATTACTGCCCAAATCTCTAATGTTTATGATATCATGGTACCTTTCATCCAAAATCACCAGCAGTATTACAATGGCTGGGAAAAAAAATCAGTGCCTTTTTCATATTGGGCAAATCCCATCTTAAAAGCCTATTAGAAAGCCAGTGGGTACTGCAATCCTTGTCACTGGTGAACTGACACCAGAAAGGATGACTATAAATCCAGAGAAATCCCTAGGCAACCGACAGAGCTGGCTACATTTCTGTTACTTCATTAAGAACTAAGGATGGAATTCTTGTGTATTTTCAAGTCACCACTGGGTTTCCAAAGACCTTAAGAGATTCTCTGATCATTGTTAAGTTGACCTCTGACTCTGTTGCCACTGCAAGGAACTGAATTCTCCTGCTAAGCCAATGGAGCATTCTAAGCACACGTAGACTTTCTTTTAAGTGCCCAACAATATTTTACAGATTTTTTTCAACCATGAAAGGACTAGACAGAGATTACAGAATGTATTATTACATTTTGAGAAAAGAAGCATTCATGATTAAAATGCTAAGAGAAACATTTAACACACAACAAAAGACACACATGAAAATCGAAAATCGTAGGAGCTAATAGACAGCAACATCAGTAATGTAGTAAGATTTGCTCAGTAGTGAGTTGCAGTCAGTATTGCAAGCTTGAGAATCACTTGTTACTTCCATCAATTTAGCTTATTTAAAACAGACACAAAAATCAGATAAAATCGAATGATACACTTGTGGGTCCAAACAGTATTTCAAAGCACTCAGCTTAGAGTGCTTTGTTTAACAGCAGAGCTTCCTACTTGTTCAATTAAAACCAAACCCACAGGCATCTAGATAGCAGGATTATTTTCACGTTCCAAGAAATTTATATGAAGGAGTACTAATGTTAATATTGAAAGGGAAAGTTTTGTATTGATGAGACATTTTACTTTTGAATCCCGAATCCGCTCTGCTGCACTTGCAGACAGGTTGCTGTCACTGTGTGCTCGACTCATGTTGGCACTGGAGTTTGAAGCAGAGTTTCCAACACTGGACCCACTGCTGCTTGCAGAACTGACCATGCTGGCACTGCTGCTGCTGGCGCTGGCGCTGGCACCGCTCACTCCACTGGTGCTTGCACAACTAAAGTTGCTTCTCTTCCAGGCCTCTCTTGCAGGCCGTTGGCGAGGGCTATGCTCCTTGATATAGTTTCTGACCTTGAGACACATAGACATAAACTTACTAGTGTTGCATCTTCACATTCTGACCTCAACATTCTGGGGAAAGAAGTCATACTGTCTTGAATCTAAAAGACTGTCAAAAGTTCTGCAGATGTGTCAATAAGACAGAAGGGCAAAAGTAATCTTTAAATGTAGACACAAGTACCAGGGGCCGGCATTGTGGAGTAACAGGTTAAGCTTTTACATGTGACACAGGCATCCCATATGAGCACTGGTTCAAGTCCCAGCTGCTTCACTTCCAATCCAGCTCCCTGCTAGCATACCTGGGAAAACAGTGGAAGATGGCCCAAGTGTTTGGGCTCCTGTCACCCATGTAGGAAACCCAGATGGAATTCTAGGCTCCTGACAATAGCCTGGTCCAGCCCCAGCTATGGCAGCCATCTGGGGAGTGAACCAGGGAATGGAAGATTAATATTTCTCTCTCTCTCACTGTGTGTGTATCTGTCTGTCTCTCTAACTCTGCTTTTCAAATATGTAAATCTTCTTTTTTGAAAAAATACAAATGTCAGAAAATTTGCCAATGTTCACCATTCCAGAAAACTTGTTATGGAGTAAGATTTTAAAAGGCTATAAAATATAACCAGTAAATGGAAATGTACTAGCTCTCACATTTTAGGACTGTAAGAAAATAATACTCTGACATAGAAACTAACAGCAAAACAAAATACATGATATTAGGCATTTGTTAAAGATTCCCACTTAAGATGACTGAAATAAATTGCTGATTATATCTAAGATCAGGGTATTTCCTAAATCTTAGCTAGAAGCCAATGATATCTTCTTCAAATGCAGGGCATCAACTTGCAAGACTAATGAAAAATGGACTCGAATGTAGAAAAAGTATACTATGTCCACTGGGAGAAACACTGAAATGAAAGAGATTTTTCATAAATAATGATAAACACAAAACAAATAAGCAATCTAAAAGCAGAATATAGTATTCATTTTAACCATGTAACAGAAAAGAGAGCAGCAAACACTGTATTTAGAATATACCAGAAATGTGGGCTGGCAACGTGGCTTAGTGGGTAAAGCTGCTGCCTGCAGTGCCAGCACCCCAAATGGGCACAGATTTGCATCCTAGCTGCTCCATTTCTGAGCCAACTCCCTGCTAATGGCCTGGGAAAAGCAGTGGAGGATGGCCCAAGTGCTTGGGCCCCTGCTACCCACGTGGGAGACCAGGAAGAAGCTCCTGGGTCCTGGCTTCGGCCTAGACCAGTCCTGGCCATTGCAGCTTTACCTGGAGAGTAAACCAGCAGATAGAAGACCTCTCTCTGTCTCTCTCTCTCTGTAATTCTGACTTCCAAATAAATAAATCTTAAAAACAAAGAATATACCAGAAACGCATGTTTCAGAATAGCAAACGGGAAATTCATTAGGTTTTGTCTTAGGCAGGCTTAATTACTCCCTAAGACTATTCAAAATTCTCAGTTCAGATGTTCACCAAAGTAGAGCTCTTATTAATTAATACTAATTACTATTTTGATTCTGTAAACTCATTTCTTTTACGAAAATATAAACCTCAGCTTAATGACTCCTTAAATGCTGAATTAAGTTTCAAGGCCTATATAATTGACAGGGAGGTTCTAGATTGACACTGACCCAGAAAGGCATTGCCAGGTGAGATCTACATAAACCTATTAAAAAACCATGTGTTCTCAAATTTTACCATCATTTTTCTACCATTTCACAGCACTGACTTTGACCTTAATTATCCATATTTTCACATATGATTTACTTATGATTATCCAAGTCTAGTGGAAGATGGTGTTTTTCAACAGGTATACAATCTGCATTTTCTTTACATACCTGCTTCAGTTTTTCATCGGTGAGACAGTTAAGCTCAATAATAAACTCACTGTCTGTAGGGGAGATTTGAGCAGAAGGATCAATTATTTTAATAATATCAAGTTGCTCTCGAAGTCCCATCTCAGTACTGACTTTACGACTCAGATATTCAATATATTCCACCTATGTGATGGAAAATGACAGCAAACATTAATGCTCAAAACCTCTGAACCTTTAGCACATTGATTACAACATGTTCTATATATCTGAAGTACTTAATGTATTTGTTCCCTGACAAACACTTAAAGCTCAAATTCAGATTCCCTAAGAAAGCCACATTTATCCACTAGCTGTAAATAAGCAATAAACAGCTTTACATTTTTCCCACATACTCCATATGCTTTTAAATGTTGAGGTCTTTACCTGCTCGTCATTTGTCATTGCACTCCAAGGAAGTTCATCTAAATTCCGGTGCTTGTTTTTCTTTTTAGGAAGCAGGCAAGGTGAACTTGGAATACTGGGTATGACATCAGAAAGTACATCACTTCCACTGGCAATGTCACTACCTGGTAACTATAAAAATAAGGATGGTGGAAGTAGGGAAAGTATTTTGAATAAGGCAATATATTTCATACACTAACTAAAAGTTACTTTACTATAAGACTAGTGGTAAATACAGAGTCAGAGGACATTAATGGTGATCTATGACAATTTTATGCAAAGTAGCAACATCATTACACTCTGTGTATAAGTTCACTTCTTCAATGAAAGTTATTTTAATAGCTTAAAATCATAATCAAAAGTTGTTAAAATGCTAACATAAGAGTCAATCACCATTAGTTTTTAATTCATAATGCAAATGTGAATAGGGCCCACATAGCATAATGAGTATAAAGACAAATAAATCATGGTCCTTATCCTGAAGTCTGTCTTAACAACCTCAAGACAACTAAAATAACATAAAATGTGCTGTTAACATAAAGCCAACAACTCTAGAGATCAAAAATATTAAGAGAAAGCATATACAGGAAAAATAAAAGCAAACCTAAGCACATGGAAATCAAAACAGTTTCAAATGACACCAATAGCTAAAAGTGAGGCTTAATTTTATATAGCCTGCTTAAAAAGAGCAGATTTAATTTTTAACAACTTCACTGATGTATATTTGACAAACAAAAGACTGCACATATTTAATGCATACAATTTTATGAGGTTGGATATATGCATATGCATATACCTGCAAAACTATCAGCACAGGAGAGGCTCCAAGATGGCAGAATAGGGAGGGAGCATACTGCTCTAGGCAAGGGGAAGATAGTTAAAAAACAAAAAAGGTGGAGACAGTGCATAGTCAGGAGACAGGGAGAAAACTGCAGTGGAAATTCTATGGAAGAAGAGGGATGTTATATATCTACGTGGAGGATATAGATGTATAGCATGAGCAAGGACACAACACAGACCCCAGCAGCAGAGAGCCTGAGAGAGCACCAGCTTAGGAGAGTGAGGTGAGATCACATTGCAGCAGCCCATGCCACCGGTGATTTAGCCAGAGGGAGAGCCTGGCATGAGTCTGGCCTGGAGCCCTGTGGAAGACAGGGTACCCGCTAAACTAGACGAAAAAGGGGGCATGTTTCTCTCTTCCCATGTCCTCTACAACAGCACCCGATAACTAGCTGAGAGGGCAGGTACCATTTTGGACCTATGTAGCAGCTGTGCCAGCTCTTGTGCGCACACCCAGCAACTTGCTGAGATGAGATGCCATCTTGTCAGTAGCTGTGGCAGCAGCTCGGGTGTGTGCAACTGGCCATCAGTAGGGCTGTGACCAGTGGCTCTTATATACGCGTGTGGTCCAGGGATTTTACCAGAGGGGAAAATCCATGTTCCCCTGGATCACACGTGTATACAAGAGCCACCGGTCACAGCCCCTTCTCGTTTGACCATGGTGCTTTCTCCCCACTGGTGGCCAAGTTATAATCAAACAGCCTGGTACTGGCACAAAAATCGATGTACAGACCAATGAAACAGGATAGAAACTCCAGAAATCAACCTATGAATCTACAACCAACTTATCTTTGACAAAGGAGCTAAAATCAATCCCTGGAGCAAGGACAGTCTCTTCAACAAATGGTGCTGGGAAAACTGGATCTCCATATGCAGAAGTATGAAACAAGACCCCTACCTTTGACCTTACACAAAAATCCACTCAAAATGGATCAAAGATTAAATCTATGACCCGACACCATGAAATTACTAGAGAACATTGGGGAAAATCTGCAAGACACTGGCATAGGCAAAGAGTTCTTGGAAAAGACTCAAGAAGCACAAGCAATCAAAGCCAAAACTGACAAATGGAATTACATCAAGCAGAGAAGCTTCTGTACTGCAAAAGAAACACTCAGCAAAATGAAGAGGCAGTCAACCAACAGAATGGGAAAAAAAATTTGTAAACTACAAAACTGATAAAGGATTAATATCCAAAATCTATAAAAAGCTCAAGAAACTCAACAACAGAACAATTTAGTTAAGAAATGGGCAAAGGGCTTGAACAGGCATTTTTCAAAAGATGAAACTGAAATGGCCAATAGACACATGAAAAAATGCTAAGGATCACTAGCCATCAGGGAAATGCAAATCAAAACTTCAATTAGGTTTCACCTCTTCCCAGTATGCTATAGAATGGCTCACATACAGAAATCAACAAATAATAAATGCTGGTGCAGATGTGGGGAGAAAGGTACCCTAATCCACTGTTAGTAGGAATGTAAACTGGTGTAGCCATTGTGGAAGACAGTATGTGGATACTTCAAAAAGCTAAAAATAGATCTACCATAGGACCCAGCAAACCCACTCCTGGGAATTTACCCAAACCAAAAGAAATCAGCATATGAAAGAGTTATCTGTACCCCCATATTCACTGCAGCTTAATTCACAATAGCTAAGATAGGGAATCAACCCAGATGTCCAGCAACTGAAGACTGGATAAAGAAATTATGGCATATATACACTATAGAATGGTACTCAGCAGTAAAAAAAAAAAAAAGAAATCTTGCTTTTTGCAACAAAACAGACGCAACTGTAAATCATTATACTTAGTGAAATAAGACAAATACCATGTTTCCCCTGATCTGTGGTAACTAACAGAGTATCTAAAATGTAATGTATTGGAGTAAAAATGACATTTTGAGATCTGATGATTACAGCCCTAATCTCTACTGTTGAGGAACAGTGTTTTTTTTCTTCATAGTATCTGTTGAACTCTTTACTTGGTGTAGGGTTAATCTTGTGAGTATAAAGTATACTGAAAATAGATGTTTGTAAAAATTAAGAGTAGGAATAGGAGAGAGAAGAGGATGGGTAGAAGCAAGGGCAGAAGGGAGGGTAGGGTGTAAAGAATCACTATGTTCCTAAATCTGTATACATGAAATACATGAAATTTGTATACCTTAAATAAAATTAAGAAAAACAAAAGAAAAGAAAAAATCGGCACAATCAAGGTGATAAACACAGCCATCACCTTCAAAAGTTAAAACGGATTTCAATTTAAAGCATTCATCACCACATTAATGTAGAGGAAAACATTATGTTTTCCACTGCCTGGAAAAGCAGTAGAAGACGGCCCAAATGCCTGGGTCACTGCACCCACATGTGATGAAGCTCCTGGCCCCTGGCTTTGGCCTGACTCAGCCAGGGGCTGTTGCTGCCATTTGGGGAGTGAATCAGCAGATGGAAGATCTCTGTCTCTCCCTCTCTCTCTCTGTAACTCAAACTTTCAAATAATTAAAATAAATCTGAAAAATAAAACAGGTAACATAAACCCTTAGGCAATGTCAAGCTGCTGAAACGGTTGGATTAAGTTTTACAGGGTAGTGTTTCAGAATGACCAAAGAGGAAAAAAGAAAAGGCACTTAGGTAAGGAAAATAAATTACTAAAATCATAGATTAAAAAAGCAATGAATGAGGTGGAAAACAAGATGATCAAGATATAAAATCAGCACTAGAGATTAGAAAGTTCAACAGAAGAATCAGAAACTGTCATACAACATGTAGAAGTGGGCCAATAACACTTTCTAAGTAGAAATAATTTGATGAAACTACACTTTAGGATAGGTTAGAAAACACAATGGGAACAAAACAGAATAAGAAAATATTGAAATTTGATGGGAAACTCTTGTGATTGGGCTTAGTTTAAGCAAAAATGGAAATAAAAATGGGAAGAAATATAAGCATTTTTGAACAAAAACAATTTTCAAAGCTGTTTGATAACCTAAAGGATATGGGTAATAGGATGTTTAAATCAGAATAACACTGATAACATTTCAGGATCATACTCCCTATCCAGGTTGATATATTTAAAGATCTAAATTTTACAGCAAGATAACTGAAATAATGTTACTGAACTTCTAGTACAAAACCCTCATATTTTTAAAAAAGATTTTTATTTACTTATTTGAGAGGCAGAGTTACAGACAATGAGAGGGAGAAACAGAGAGAAAGGTCTTCCATCCACTCCCCAAATGGTCACAATAGCTGGAGCTGAGCCAATCCGAAAAACCCTCATCTTACACAGAAGAAAAATTAGGTCCAAGGAGGGTCACACAACTAAAGACAGAATCCAAAGACAAGTGCAGTGATTTCAACTACTGCAGTCTGGCCTTTGAGGTAGCTTGTAATGAAGGAACGTCATTTGGGATATGGAGAGTTTGTAGTGATCGTGGGAGAAGCAAGCACAAAGTATCCTTTGAACAGACAACAGTCACTCTTTTTACTATATGCTATAAAACATGTCACAAAGCAGTCTATTTTTTTCATGGAAACACTGTAATTGCAAGTTACATCTCTGACCCAGGACTCAGCATCAGATAACATGTTAGTACTAAATAATAAGGTCATCCAAGTGGAAATGTCAAGTAGTCAATTAGAGATACAGGATGAGCAGCTGCATGGTGGAATTCATTGTATGGACTCCTGTATATTTATGATACCAGCAATTTTTCCAGGTTATAACTGGTAATATATTTCAGGATAAAAATGCTTAATGATTCCCATCTCATATTTTTCATGAACAATATTTGGTATATTTATATTATAATCAGTAATTGTGACACATAGGGAGAATTAAATCAAACCTCTGCCATATTTTCTGCAGGGTGCAGCAGAATTTTATGAGTAAGCTCATTGTTGTAATAGCTGATGTGTAATTTCAGATTGTACCTCTACGTTTCAAGTGTGACAGCTGAATTACTCACTTTTTAAATTTTATAAGCTTTCCTGCTCAGCAATGGAAATAATTTCTCAACCTCTAAGACTAGTCAAATATATCTTCAATAATAAAAGGACTGCAAGCAAAGAAAACTATCAGCAAAGCAAAAGGCTTTAATATTACTTCAAATGCTAAGATGCTCCTTCATTCTAAGGTTAAAAATCTCACCTAATGGAATAGCTAGAATTTCTCTTCCCAGAGAAATCTATGAATCATTTACACTTACTTTAGTTGTAACTAAAACATGTTAAAAAGATAGATTTACGCAGATGCAGTTTTTAATCGCAACAAAGGTAACACACATTTTTAAACTACAAGTAAATGATTTTTAGTCTGTATAAATCCCAATATATAATTTGTAATTATCCTCTTGGATAATTTACTGCTCGTCATTATGAGGTCCCACAAAGACAAGACTGCATTTAAACCTTTCAGCATATTTAAATAGCAAATATCCATGGTAACAGAGTACCCATACTACAATTTCAGAGGTGGGAAAATACATTACTAAAGCAGGACTGATTTTTTGTTCAAAAGTGTAGTCATTCATGTGCATTAACAGTCAGTGGATAGGGATGGCTTTCCACTTGATCTACTCATGAACTAAGTGAAGAATTCAGCAATTACAATTTCAAAATGCCTGCCACCTTGCAGTGTTATATACAATGCAAACTCTAAATAAATCACATAAGTGGAAAAATATTTCTTAGAATTATGAGGACTCCATCTGATTGCACTTTATTAAGATTCATTGTAATCTGATTTTAAATATAAAGTATGCACTTGACATATGAAGCACTGAGAATAAAATGGTACCCACACAAAAAAATGATGACTACTGTCACCTGTAATAGAAAAACAAACTGAAATAGGTGTAAAGAGAGGAATGGTTTCTCAAGTTCTGGTGTATCTAATGGCAGGAATGGTATGTAGCCATTAAAAAATTCATTATGAAGATCATGAAAAACTCTGATATTTAAATGATAAAATCTTACTATAAAATTTTATGCAAAGAGGAAGGACTATTCCCTACCTCTTTCTATGAGGCCAGAATTACTGATACCAAATCTAGACAAAAACAGAATAAAAGAACTATAGACCAATATCATTTACAATATAGATGCAAATATCCTTAACAAAATGCTAGAAAACTGAATCTAGAAGCATATGAAAAGGATTATACACTGTGACCAGTTAGGACTTATTCCAGGAATGCAAGAGTGCTTCAATATATGAAAGCTAATCAATATAATGCATCACAGAATAAAAGAAAAGAAATCACATGATCATCTCAAATTCTCAGAAAAAGCATTTCACAAAATCCCACATCCTTTCATAAAAAAAAATTTCAAACTAGAAATAGAAGGGAAATTCTTTAGCATGATATAAAGCATTTACAAAAAAACTACAGCTAACACTTCAATGGCAGAAGACGGTAAGTTCTCCCACCAGGATCAGGAAAAAGACAAGATGCCCATTTTCACCACTTTCATTCAACACTGTATTGGTGATCTAGCCAAAGCAATTAAATAAGAAATAAAAGTCATCCATATTAGAAGGAAAAGAGGAAAAGTCTCTCTATTCTCAGACAACTTACATATAAAAAAAAATCAGAAAAAGAGGTTATAAAAGCTAACAACAAGCTCCAGCCGTTGCTGCAACTTGTAGAGTGAATCAGTGGATGGAAGACCTCTCTCTCTGCCTCCTTCTCTCTCTGTGTAACTCTGACTTTCAAACAAATAAAGAAATCTTTTTTAAAAAAAGAAAATATATTGCTACAGTTGCCTTAAAAAGAATAAAATACCCAAGAATAAACTTCATCAAGGAAGTATGAGGCCTCTTCAAAGTATACATGGAAAATTCATATTATAAAAAAGCTAAGCATGGATTTCCAATATTTTTGCACCAAAATAAACTTAACCCCATTTCTATGAACTTTCTAAAGTACCTTTGTACAAGGTTTGAACACTGAAAACTGCAAAAGTAACACTGAAAGAATTAAAGAAAACCCAGATAGAGATATTCCCTCCCATCCTCATGTATCAGAGTATTTAGTGTTGCTGTTAAGATAGCAATATTCCCCAAAGTGATCTACAGATTCAATGTAGCCCCCATCAAAATTCCAACTGCCCTTTTTGCAGAAATGGTCAGCCTGATCTTCAAATTCATATGGAATTGTGGGAGATCTCAAAAAACCAAAGCAACCTTTATAAAGAACAAAACAGAATAATTCACATTTCTCAATTTCAAAACTCAGTACAAAGCTATAGTAATTAGAAGTATTATACTAGCATGAGGTCAGACACGTGCACCAATGCAATAGAACTGACAGTCCAGCAATAAATCCATGCATCTATGATCAATTATTTTTAAAGATTTATTTATTGGCCAGCGCCGTGGCTCAACAGGCGCCGGCACACCGGGTTCTAGTCCCGGTCGGGGTGCCGGATTCTGTCCCGGTTGCCTCTCTTCCAGGCCAGCTCTCTGCTGTGGCCCGGGAGTTCAGTGGAGGATGGCCCAGGTCCTTGGGCCCTGCACCCTCATGGGAGACCAGGAGAAGCACCTGGCTCCTGCCTTCGGATCAGCATGGTGCATTAGCCGCAGCGTGCCAGCCACAGCGGCCATTGGAGGGTGAACCAACGTCAAAGGAAGACCTTTCTCTCTGTCTCTGTCTCTCTCACTGTCCACTCTGCCTGTCCAAAAAAAAAAAAAAAAGATTTATTTATTTATTTATTTGAAAGTCAGAGTTACATTGAGAGAGAAGGAGAGGCAGAGAGACTGAGAGGTCTTCCATCTGCTGGTTCACTACCCAATTTGCCACAGTGGCCAGAACTGTGCCAATCTGAAGCCAGGAGCCAGGAGCTTCCTCCAGGTCTCCCACACGGGTGCAGGGGCCCAAGCACTTGGGCCATCTTCTACTGCTTTCCCAGGCCACAGCAGAGAGCTGGATCGGAACTGGAGCAGCTGGGACTCGAACTGGGGACCGTATGGGATGCAGGCACTGCAGGTGGCAGCTTTACCTGTTACGCCACAGCGCTGGCCCCTGATCAATTCATTTTTGGCAGTGTGCTAAGATCGTTCCATGAGGAAAGAATAGTCTTTTTCAACAAATGGTACTGGGACAACTGGGTATGTGTATGCAAAAGAATGGATTTGAACCCCTATTACACAACATAGACAAAAAATAATTCAATTGGGCTTCGTTAAAATTATAAATGTGTGTGTGTGTGTGTGAATGTACACTATCAAGTGACTAGACACTATCAAGCTAAAAGAACCCACAAGAGGGCCGGCACTGTGGCATAGCGGTAAAGCTGTCACCTGCAGCACTGGCATATGATTTGAGTCCTGGCTGCTCCACTTCCAATATAGTTCCTTGTAGATGTGTCTGGGAAGGCAGCAAAGGATGACCCAAGTACTTGGGCCCCGGCACCCACTTGAGAGAGACCGGGATGAAGCTCCTGGATCCTGGCTTTGCCCTCGCCAAGCCTTAGCTGTCACAGCCATTTGGGGAGTAAGCCAGTAGATGGAAGATTCTCTCTCTCTCTCTTCCTATCTGCTTCTCCCTCTCTGCCTCTGCTTCTCCATCTCTGTAACTCTTTCAAATAAATAAAATAAATTTATTTTTATTTGAATTTTATTTAGTTAAAATTTATTTTATTTATTTGAAAGACAGAACTACACAGAGAGGTCGAAACAGAGAGAGAGGGAGAGGTCTTCCATCCACTGCCTCACTCTCCAAATGGCCACAACAGCAGGAGCTGAGCCAATCAGAAGCAGAAGCCAGGAGCCTCCTCTGGGTCCCCCATGTGGGTGCAAGAGCCTACGTGGGATGCCGGTACTGCAGGCCAGGGCTTTAACCTGCTGTGCCACAGTGCTGTCCCCCTAAATAAATCTTAAAAAAAAAGACAACCCACAAAACTAAGGTTTTGTAAATCATATATCTGATAATAGTCCAGCAGGCAGAATAAAGACTTCATAATTAAAAGACAACACAACTAAAGGATTATGAACAGATTTTCTCTAAGATATACAAACAACCAGTAAGAACCTGAAAAGATACTCAATACCATTAGTCATTAGGGGAATCCAAATGAAAACCAGCATGAGATACTGCTTCACATTCCACTAGAATGCCTGTAATCAAAAAGACAATACCAAGCTTGGGCAAGGATGTAGAGAAACTGGAACTTTCATAAATTGCGAGTGGAAGTGGAAAATGGTGCAGACACTCTGGAAAACATGTTGGCAGTTCCTCAAAAAGTTACATAGAGTTATCGTATGACCCAGCAATTCTATTCCTAGGGATATATTCAAGGGCATTATAAATATACAACCACATGAAAGCTTATACTTAAGTGTATATTATTCACGAAATTATACTGTTACTTATGTAGATATGATGCCAATAAAAGAAAAAAACCTTACCTGCCATTCAAATTCACTATCTGACCAATCCCAATAAGTGCTAATAGAAGAGGAGACATCACTGCAGACACTCCCCTCAGGGAATAAATCAAAAGAAGTGAAATCTTGATCATCTAATAGGGAATAGCAATCATCTTGATCTCCAACAGAAACTGATGAAAATAGCTCCTCGCTGCATTCTGAGCTGGCAACGCTTGTTCCACAAGAAGTCAGGTTCCACCTTCAAAAATACAACACAAAGGCAATCACAAGAACTACAGGATCCACACAATTTTGAGATATTAATATGCATAGTTATGAGGAATTTATTTTAGGTATGATGATACTGTGTTTATTTTAAAGGAACCCTTAGCTTTTAAAGAAATATTAAAATATTTATGAGTGAAACATGTCTGGGATTTACTTCAAAATAATAGGGAAGGTGCTGGGGTGTTTGCTAGGGTATAGATGAAGCACGAGGTCACATATGAATAATTGTTGAAGCTAGGTGATGAGTACATAGGATTCATTATGCTATTCTCTACTTTCTTAGTCATCTTAAAACAGCTATAATAAAATATTTAAAAAAAAGATATTTGAGTTAGGAATAAAACATAACCTTCATCCATAAACAATATATATATATATCATAGTGGTTATGCATAAACTCTGGAGTCTGGCTGAGTTCAAATTCTTGCTCTGTCATTTGCTAGCTATTTGATCTTAAGCAAATCAAATCCTCTGCAAACCTCCGTCCCCATTTTAAAAATGGATTTATTGTGAAGGCTACATGAGAACGCATACAAAGCACTTAGCACATCTAAAATGTGCTCAGTACATGCATCTATTCTTATCAAATTGAAAGAGGAGAGGCTAGCCATTGCAAGGCAAAGAAAAGCACCAGAAAGAATGAATGCAGGTACAAGTTCAAGAAGTTGTTTGCTATTTATGTTAATGTTGTACAGGCTCAATGCAAAGAAGTTGGAATAAAAAAGGGCTGAAGATCAAAATGGTCAATTGATCCATTACCCAACAAGAACTTATCCATAACATTTTGTTATCTTTTTCTATGTGCATTTGTATTTTTTTTCAGAATCAACATTCACTTTGAGTATCTATATTTCAGTATCCTTTTTTCACTGAATATTTTCCTAAGCACATGCTGAGTATGCCTAATCTGAAATGTTCTGGATTAGAGATGCTTTGGATTTCTGATTTCTAATTTTTTAATTTAGATTTGGAATATTAGCACATACATTGAGTTATCTTGGGGATGAGACCCAAGACTAAAGACAAAATTCATTTATGTTTCATAATATCTTATACACATAGCTAAAAGTAATTTTACACAATATTTTGACTGCACATATCACATGAAGTCAGCCGCAGAATTTCCCACTTGTGTCATGATTGCCCTCAAAAAGTTTCAGATTTTGGAGCATTTTAGATTTCAGGTTGTTTTTTTTTTTTATTTTGACAGGCAGAGTTAGACAGTGAGAGAGAGAGACACAGAGAGAGAAAGGTCTTCCTTCTTCCGTTGGTTCACCCTCCAAATGGCCACTGCGGCCAGCACGCAGCGCAGATCCGAAGCCAGGAGCCAGGTGCTTCCTCCTGGTCTCCCACGCAGGTGCAGGGACCCAAGCACTTGGGCCATCCTCAACTGCCTTCCCAGGCTACAGCAGAGAGCTGGACTGGAAGAGGAGCAACCGGGACAGAATCCAGCGCCCTGACCAGGACTAAAACCCGGGGTGCCGGCGCTGCAGGTGGAGGATTAGCCTAGTGAGCAGTGGCGCTGGCAGATTTCAGGTTTTTTAAACAGGTATGCTCAATCTTTATATTACCTGAAGCCATTTTACTACTGTGAATAGTCCACTGATTGAATATATCCTAGTTAATCCTATTCTCTCAACAACAGATATATAGGCTGTTTCCATTTTTTTGTATTAAAAATAATACTGAGGCCAGCGCTGCGGCTCACTAGGCTAATCCTCAGCCTGCGGTGCCGGCACACCGGGTTCTAGTCCCGGTAGGGGCACCGGATTCTGTCCCAGTCGCTCCTCTTCCAGTCCAGCTCTCTGCCATGGTCTGGGAAGGCAGTGGAGGATGGCCCAAGTCCTTGGGCCCTGCACCCGCATGGGAGACTGGGAGGAAGCATCTGGCTCCTGGCTTCAGATCGGCGCAGCGCTCGAGGCCGCAATGCACTGGCCATAGCGGCCACTTGAGGGGTGAACCAACAGAAAAAGGAAGACCTTTCTCTCTGTCTCTCTCTCTCAGTGTCTAACTCTGCCTGTCAAAAAAAAAAATTTTTTTAAATAATAATACTGAGATAAGACATTTTGTTAATAATTATTTATCCAAACATGAATTCTCTCAGGATAGATTGCTTGAAAAGTAAACAGAGTCAAAGAATCTGAATGCTTCTAAGAGTCATATACTGTTCTGAAAGGTCATACCAATACACCCTCCCTAAGGCAAGTCAGAAAAGTGTTCATCTCTCCACACCTTAACAGCACTGAAATTTTTATTTAAAATTTGTTAATCTGCTGGCGCCGTGGCTCACTAGGCTAATCCTCAGCCTTGCGGCGCTGGCACACAGGGTTCTAGTCCCGGTTGCCCCTCTTCCAGGCCAGCTCTCTGCTGTGGCCAGGGAGTGCAGTGGAGGATGGCCCAGGTGCTTGGGCCCTGCACCCCATGGGAGACCAGGAAAAGCACCTGGCTCCTGGCTCCTGCCATCGGATCAGCGCGGTGCGCCGGCCGCAGCGCGCTGGCCGCGGCGGCCATTGGAGGGTGAACCAACGGCAAAGGAAGACCTTTCTCTGTCTCTCTCTCTCTCACTGTCCACTCTGCCTGTTAAAAAATAAAAAAAAAAATAAAAAATAAAAAAAAAGAAAATTTGTTAATCTATCTGATAGGACAGAAAGATTTCATATCGTTTTATTTCATTGATTAATAGCAAGATCAGAATTTAAAATGTTCATTAGCTATTTTGCTCAGTGTTTTCTATGTATGAATGTTCTCCTTATTGATTTTGTAAGAGCTCTTTATGCACTAAGGTCATATACATTTTGCCTACAGTACTTGTTGCAGGGATTTCTCATGTTTTATTTTTTTGGTTTTGAAATATTTCAGTTTTCTCTTGTAAATTTCCACTAGGTACAGACTGTTAATGAGATAATCTTTACTGCTTTGCCAGTAGCATAGGGAATTAATCCTGAAGATATTGATTTAGTGTTTCCGATACTAATAAGCTACTGAAATGACTTCCTGAAGAAAATCCTCTTATTTCTCCATTATTAGGTTGTTTCTCATCCTTCATTAAATCCGGGGGTTTTTTTAATGATTTTTTTTGAACTTCCTCCTTTCTATTTTATATGGCTAATCCAAACTCAGAAGTTCTTGGTTTACAAAATTAGGATGACACAAAAAATTTTGTGGTACCTTTTTCTTTTAGTTGAAGGTGGAGAATTTCAAAGCATTGAGACACATATACAAAATTATTATAATTCTGTTAACAAAAAGCAGATGTTAATAAATTTTTATAAATAGATAATCTAAAACTCATCTGAAAATCCTAGAATACTTTTTTTTTCATATGCTTGCTAGGTGGGCAGTAACTGAACTTAAAAAAAAATAACCGATTGAGCAGAATTAGGCAAACTGTCCAGGTCTTGCATTAAAAGCTATGAACAGCAATCAAAAGTTCTGTCCTAGACATAGTAAACCATAGCCACATTGTGTCTTGAGCTAATACTTTTCCTGACTTCAAATTCCAAATGAGTCTTTTCCCCTTTATTTGTTCACCATTCCACAAACATTTATTCAGTATCTTCTATGCGTCAAATACTATGTACCATGCTAGGAAAAACTGTTAGATAATTATTTTTAATTAGAATTTCTTTTCAGCTCCACTGACAAAGGAGTCATACATTTGCTTTTTTTTCCCCTCTCATCTTAGGGCAAAATCAGTATGTCCCTTATTTTTTCAGATTTGTAACTATGTAAGATTCTAGAATGTTCTCAAAAGCCTTTAATTTTTAATGATCTGTGCCAATCAAACTAGGTTCACCCTTCAAATAGTTTGCCAAATAGAAAGAATGTTTTTTACTATTAAATATTTTTAAGAATTTTAGTTCTTCCAATTTGCAAATATTAATTACTATTTCCAGGCAGTGTAGAAAAGAACAAACTAGGAAGTATCTTTATCCATTGCTGGTGGAAATGTAAGCTGACATAATTTTTCTGAAATGCAATTTGGTAGTATATATATATCAAGAACTTTAAAATGGTTCACTCATTAGGAGTCAGTAATTTCCCTTCTAGGAATCTATTCCCTCCCTTAAACAGCAATTTGAAAAAAAAAAAAAGATGTATATACAAACACATTCAAATGGTATTATTTATAATAATCAAAAGGGGAAAATAAAGGCCTCCAAACCCTGGGGAATAATTCTGTGATACAGCTGAATGATGGACTTCATAATCATGAAAAAAAAATCATAGTTTCAGAATATTGAGTGAAAAGGAAAACACTCAACATTATGAGCAAAAATAAGCAGGTCACAAATTATATATATACAGTCTGATCTTGATTTTTAAAAATTCTATAGGACTCAGAACATTAAAAGAAATAGCATCAAAATGTTGAGAGTATTTACTTTTGGGGAAAGGGATCATGAGTAGTAGCCTTGAAAGCCTTTTATATGTCCACAATTTTATATATTGATATTTTACAATAAAAATCTAAATGTGATTCACTTAGATGGTTCCATCAGTTTCAAACTTACAATGAGTGTCCACTGTGTGCTTACCATTGAACTCTCCAAGTTTGTATACCCTCACATCTTATTCCACCAAGAAAAATCTGCCTAGCACTGCTTCTACCTAAAAACTATAACATTATTCTCAGAGAAGACTTTCTTTCACATCTTAAAAGTGTTGAAAGAAATCCCAATGAAATTATGTTTAACTCAATAACTAGGCTTGCTGCCCACATTTTAATTAAATAGTAAAGCCAAGAACATTTCTCTGCGAGGCTTTTCAGCAAGAAGACACAGACTAAGGACTTTCAGTGGTATTTTGGTAATCATTTAAATGTTAAAATTAAGAAAAGCATGGACACCTTCCTCTGCAGCCCCTGCTCCTTTCAAGATGACCTAACCATCCCCTCTCACAATGGGAATCCAGAAAATGAGGACTACTGAGTAAAATCTCAACAGTCAAGTCGAGAAATGTCATTCCGGATCCATGCTATGCAATTATTCTCAGGGAACAGCCCCCCACCATTTCACTGACTCCCTGCCATAACCCCCACACAGCCACCATGACTTCTGCAACCTCTCTCTTAGAGCCCAACATGCCAGCAGGGTTTCAGGCTAGCACAGGTGACAATAACCCCCTACCCTCATCCCAGCTACCTCAACTGTCATGAGGCCATTATCCATCATTCTACCCACTCTACTGTCCTGGAAGTAACCTTCTATGTCTTTTCTAAGGCTAATCCTTTCACATGAGCTTCTGAGTATATCCCCCCCTCCCATCTCCCCTCATCCCATCTTGTATTTTTCAACTGCTCCTTTTCCTGTAGTCTGCTTCCAAGAAGCTAAAATCTCTATTCTTAGAATATAGAAATTCAAATGAAGCAAAAACCAAGTGAAGAAATTTTCACTTCCCTTCCAAATTATCATATCTCCTCCTTCTTTTCTGTTAAATTTATTGAAAAGTTTCTAGTCTTTTCAACCTGTGGAACTCATGGTTCCACTCCTATCATGCTAAAGGAATTTCTGTTAATTACTCCTTAGTCTATATATCTAGCCTAGACATTCTGTCAAAGCCTGACCTTCATTCTCAATTTGTTTCAACAAGTTCCCAAATCAGATTCTATCAACATGGCTCTCTCACCTGGAACCCACGGCTCTTTTTGCACTTCCAGTTCTATATCTAGATAATAAACTGTGGGTGGCACCAGAGGCTCACAAGAGTCTAGGGGTTTTTCTCTATAATGGTGATTGAAAACAGAGTTCTAAAATCACAAAATGGAATAACTGATTTATACAATAGTCCATTTCATAGCCTGCCTATACAAAACTAAGGCACTGTCCTCCACACTTTTCACAATTGTTCAATGTCAAGGTAATGATACACACATGAAAGAAGAAGAACACTTCTCTACTTCATGTTAATCTCTGTCATCTCACAGTTTAATCACATGATTTACAAATGTTGTTATAGTTTTCCAACTTTATAAATATCTTTTTTAAAAATTATTTTATAATTGAAAGGCAGAGAGAGACTGATTTTTCTTCTGTTGGTCCACTTCCCAAATGCTCACAAAAGCTGCTGCTTGACCAAGCTGAAGCCAGGAGACTGGAGTTCCTTCCAAGTCTCCCATGTGGGCAGCAGGGACCTAACTACTTGAGCCATCATCCTCTGCCTCCCATGGTACACATCAGAAGGAACCTGAATTCAAAGTGGAGGCAGAGGCAGGACTCAATCCTAGGCACCTGCAAGGGATATGGGACTCAGGTGTCCCAAGTGGCACCTTTATTGCTTTGCCAAATGTCTGCCCCTATATGACATCATTTGTGGTTATGATGGTGCTTGTAGGAGACATGGCTACTGTGAAAAAAACAAGTCCTGACTGAAGTGCCTGGAGAAAACTATTTACATCAGAAAAATGTTATCCCCCAAGCCAAAAAGAAAAGTCTTAAATACTAAATATATTCCACATTGACATTTCAATTTTGTTTGGTCAAAAAGATTATTAATATTTAATATTTATTAACAACTGAAATTTATTCTGTTTTCCTAAAGTTCTAGATAAAACCAACTTGGCAATACTATCCTAAAAAGCACTCCTAGGAACGTGTAAGTTCTTAGGAAACTGGCTGTGGCCCTGTAGTGTATTTCCTACTGAACCTGTACCAGTGACACACCAATGTACATCACAGAGGACTCTATTCTGAACACACATGCATTGAACTTCAGGGGTCAGGAGCCATTAGTGAGTATTAGTGCTGTGGCTCTCTTGGTTAATGAAGATTGCAGATATAGCCCAGAGTATAACAGAAACAAAATTGTCATCATCACAAAGCCCTTATCAAGAACACTCCTTAAATATCCTAGTCCACAATTTTCTTACAACGTAACAAGAAGGAAGCAAAATTAAGGTAAACCACTTACCTACCATTAACAAGATTTCTACTTTCAATGAAATTTGTTTTGCAGTGACTAAACTCAAGGCAGAATTTCAGACAGACCTCCGCTATTCAGATCTGATTTGGGGATTGTTACTTGAACAGGTGAATGATGTGATGTGAAGGACAAAAATGAGACATATATCTCAAAAAAAAAACTCTCTAAACTTAATGTTGCTCACATATATGATTTAGCTATTTGCTTCTCCCAGAAAAGAAATGGCTGAAAGCATATGGTCCTCTCAAAAGCCATCTTGAGAAGGAGTAAGAAGGCAGAAAATTCCAGAAGGAGAAAAGATATAAAAAGCAGGATAGCCTAGGGCAGTAACATCAAATCCTGTAAATACTGCTAATTCAGCTTCCCATTCTCTGGTGAAAGGATAGAGACCATTAGATTCCCTGCTGCCATTCAAAGCCTTGTGAAAAATCGGGTAGGAGGAAGATTTTAAAAAAGTAGTCAGTTTCAGCTCTCTGCTGTGGCCTGGGAAAGCAGTAGAAGATGTCCCAAGTCCTTGGGCCCTTGCACCTGTGTGGGAGACCCGGAAGAAGCTCCTGGCTTCGGATCTGCGCAGCTCCGGCCATAGCAGCCAATTGGGGAGTGAACCACTGGATGGAAGACCTCTCTCTGCCTCTCCTCTCTCTGTGTAACTCTGACTTTCAAATAAATAAATAAATCTTTAAAAAAAAAGTACTATCTAGGAAAAATATTGACTTGACTTGAAAAAACTGGAGCTTTACAGGAACCTCCCCCTCCACCTTCACTGCCCCATTCTGGAAAAAAATTAGCCTTGACCTACCACAGTTGTCAAGAAAAGAGGAAGAAAACACAAGGGAAAAATGGGGAGGAGTAGGAGGAACGGAACAAGCTGTAAAAAAAAAAAAAGAAACAAAAAACCAAACCACGTTATCATTCTCATCCCTTCACTCCCCATTACCTCCACCAGTTCTGGCAGTCCTCACCCTCAACCTCCATCTCCACGCCCTCGCCCTCACCACCAGAGCAAGCCAATTCTGGAATCATTTAAATCACTTTTCCTGTGTATGGGACTTGGCTGTAACCCTGTAAAATCTGAATACCAAATATGTGCAAAGGTATTCTTTTTTATTAGGACAGTTTAGTTCACAAATATGTTAACATTTATGTGACAGGGACATCCTAGATTCAATAGGCTTCTGTGAGTTAGTCTAAGAACCTATAAGGACCACTCCTAACATCAGACCCATTAGTTTTGTTCCAAGTTTCATCACTGGCTTCATAGAACAGTCTAGGCCTGACTAGGTTTTATGACCTTCAACTCAGTCTTTTCTCTCTGGGCCTCAGTTTCTTCAGTTTTGCAATGAGGATTTGGAATAGCTGTAACACATCTGTCACTTCTTTTAGAACATATTACACTGCTGTTCTGTTTCCAAAGAGACTACATAAGTTTGTTTTAGGTTAGAATACTTTATACAGACCTGTACCTGGTAAAACTCAATAAATTTGTAAAATGACTTAAGGAGTAGGATGGGGGAAAATATGCAAGATAATAAAATGTAGGAGGATCTGATCATACTCATAGCAGTAAACTCAGATCAAAAATCAGAACTAAACTCCTTCGTTTCTCTCTCCAGTGCTTTCCATAGCTGAACCCCTCTCCTAGTCCTTGGAGCACATACTCTCTCAGTCCCGTGAATACATTTCTCAAATACCCACCTATATTAAAAGTCGAGGCTATATCTAAAACATCTTTAAATCCCCCATAACATCTGCCACTAATTGCTCACATGAGAGAATTCTCCAGAAAACTACCATGCAATAAAACCAGTCAGGAGGAGATGGACCCTGTGAATAAATCTGTGTAAGTTCAACCTAAACCTTGTTCTGTTTGCCTCTCACTCCATAAACACACACTGGGGGAGCAAACCAAAAGGTATGTTACATGAAAGAATCTTCCAGATTTAAGCTTCAACACTTCAGCAGGGCCTAAAGCCCCTAAGGCTAAGAGTTCATAAAGGAAAGAGGGAAACAAAATTGACTTGTTTCCTGGGGGTGGGGAGTAGGGCTGAAAGAAGGCAGGTTAAAAACAGGGAAAGTTCTAGCTTCATAAGTGCCACCTTTCAAAAGACCCACGGACTGACTTGGAGTCATTCCGAAAGCCGCTCTGCAGCTCACCGGAAATGGAAGGGGTTAAACTTTTGCAGATGGATGGGGAACGGGAAGTCTCTAAAAATCAAGGGTGAAGGTGTGGGACTCACAGGGGATAGAGGTGGAGGAAAGAGGGGAGAAGGTGAAGGGTGAAGAGAGGCGATAGGGAAGGGAGGAGTCGCGACAGCCAGAAGACGAATGGGGAAAACAGAAAGAGTAAGCTGCCGGTAGAAAGGAAAACCGGAGGGCAGGGGTGAAAATAAGGAGGAGGAACAGGGAAGGAGCCCGGGAATGAGCGCTGGTCCAAGGAAGGTGGGGGAGGGGGCGGTCAGAGACACAGCCTTGGGCGAAGTACTGGGAACTGGGAGGCGGGGGGGGGGGGGGTCCCGTCCGTTCTGCAGCCAAGAGGCAGGGGTTTGGGAAATGAACCCTTGCCCTCAGCGACGGTTCGTACCTGTTGGTATGGAAGCGGTGGAGGGGGTCGGTGCGGTGGCAGGACGACAGCTGGCAGCCAAAGTCGCTGATGTCCAGGCATCCCGGCTCCTCGCTGGGGCAGGTGCTCACCCCGCGAGGGGGTCCCAAGAGCGGGAAGGGTTCCTCAGGGGTTAGAAACTTCTCGTACGAAGTGGTGGCCGATGCCTCGTCGGACATGGTTGGACACGGCCTGGCTCGAGCTCCCTCTCTGACTCTGGGCTTCTCCCGCGCCCGCCCCCTGCCCCCACTCTAACCTGCCCGGTGTCGCCGCCGCTCCCGGGTGTGCCCGCCGCAGCTCACTGGCAGGCTGAGGGCCCCGGCCCGCCGCTGCCCGAGCTGTGCGAGGCCAGCGAAGACGCCGGTAGAGGACACAAGCAGCCCGCCGGCCACCGAGTCAGCGCCACAGTGGCCTCTGCAGCCGCCGCCGCCACTGCCCGCCCTAGCCCTTCACAGCCGCCCCGCCCTGTCCGGCCCGCCCCGCCCACTGCGCTCCCGGCTCGCTACTGCTGCAGTCCGCCCCGCGCCAGCCAGGAGGGGAAGGGCGGTGGGGAACCGCTCCGTGTGCCCCCTGCTGGAGCGGAGGAGGAACTGAACCTCCGTCCGCCGCAGCCTCGCTCCCTAGGCCCTGCCCACCCCGCCCTTCCTGCAACAAATCAGGGATTCCGGGCGTTGGAAAGGCCGGGCACCTCCGTCCAACCTCCTCCGCTTTCTCGCTCGCTTAGGATTACTAAAGGAGCAACCCCAGCCCCAGGAAAAGGGACTTGGCCAAGGTCATACTGCTGGTGCGTGCGAAAGAATCCAGATGTGTTAATTCGCAGCATACTCGATCCCCCTGTCCCAATTCAACAAGTATTTATTGAGCTCCCTGCAGTGTGTGCGTCCAGCACTGTGTAGTGAGCTCTAGGGGCGATAGAGCAAGTAGAAAAATAGTCCCTGCCTCACCCTTGATCACCTAACTCCAAGAACACCACACTACAGCCAGCAGGCTACTCAGAGCTGCTGGACACGCAGTGTTCTTTTGTGCTCTGTGCTTTCCTGGCATTATGCGCTCTGATTGGAATGCCTTGCCTTTTCTCTCAAGCTAATCCTTAAAGCCTCAGCTCAAATGTTACCTCTTCTGTGAAGCCTTCCCTGACTCACGAAGGGGACTTAAGCACTCCCTCCTAATAACTCTCTGCTCACCCCTGAAAGTAAGCTACGGAGTTGTTCAACATAAATCAACTTGTCATATACTGTTCTTTCTTCCTATCACTTCTTTTCTCTGTATTCTACACAAATGATTCCAGATCTTGGATGTGTAAAATTTTAAACTTATATTTGGAGGAAAACCCAAGATTGCCGATTTTTTATTTGCCAAATGAAGACAACCTTTTAGATTAACGACTATTTTATAAAAGGAAGCACCTTTTCATGTAAAATTATCTATTTATTTATTTATTTATTTCACAGGCAGAGTTAGACAGTGAGAGAGAGAGACAGAGAAAGGTCTTCCTTCCATTGGTTCACCCCCCAAATGGCTGCTATGGCCTGCATGCTGCGCTGATCCGAAGCCAGGAGCCAGGTGCTTCCTCCTGGTCTCCCATGCAGGTGCAGGGCCCAAGCACTTGGGCCATCCTCCACTGCCTTCCCGGGCCACAGCAGAGAGCTGGCCTGGAAGAGAAGCAACCTGGACAGAATCCGGCGCCCCGACGGGGACTAGAACCCAGTGTGCCGGCGCCGCAGGTGGAGGATTTGCCAAGTGAGCCACGGCGCTGGCCTTTCATGTAAAATTATAAGGATATAGTCTTCAATTAGCAGTACTCTTTGCATTAAATATATTTGGCTTCATGTAAGAACTCATTACACTGATCCTTGAGTGTTAGTTGGAAAGAAGGGGTAAGAATTCAGGAGGAAGAGGGGAAAGTGGGAAGAAGAATTATCACACAAACAAGCCCCAATGAGTTTTAAACCCTGCCTTGCCCTGTGCAACTTACAATGAAAACAATTCTTCAGAGACTCCTTTAAAATTTATATATACAGTTGTTCCTCAGTATCACAGAGCTTTTATTCCAGGACCCCTGAAGATACAAAAATCTATAAATGCTCTGGACTTCCATATAAAATGGCATAGTGTTTGTACATAATCTGTATATGGCCTCCCATGTACTATAAATCATGTCTAGATTATTTATGCTTGCTAATACAATGTAAATGCTACGTGAATAGTTGTCATGGTGTATTGTTTAGGGAATAATGACAAGAAAAGAGTCTGTATGTATTCAGTACAGATGCAATTCTTTTCAAATATTTTCCATCTGTATTGGAAATTGCTATGTGGAACCTATAGATACAGAGGTTCAACTGTATTATCTTGCTTTAGTTCTTTGGTTGCCTGCTGTGAGTATTCTTGCTTTTGTTCATTTGTAGAGCAAGAAGGTGTGTTGCATTGTGAATGTGGCCTTCAAAAATCAACCATTCACTACTATCTAGTGGGTTTGTCCAATTTAAAAATTGGGAAGTGAAGGTGGGGATGGTTTGACCTAGGATCCCCAGTGCACCATCCCCAGGGCCCTGAGGTTAAACTGCCCATGGCTTAGTCCCCACAAACAAAGAGACTCAATTGTCTAAATGAAACAAGAGTCATGTACTGCATGATAATGTAGGTACTCAGGTAACAGCACCAGAAACTGTTAATAAGAAGCTAACAAAACAGTCTAAATATACACACATTTTACACATACTCTAAGAAGCAGGTGTTTTTCAAGCTGGAGCCTAATGACAGAGTCTGCAAGTTTTCTACAAGTATGTTTTATTTTTGCATTTAATTTTAAGCATATTCTGGAGTATCTGGATGACCTCATGATGACTAACTGCTGTCACATAATTAGGACATGTATTTAAGTCTGTTTTTACAATCAAGTTGGCACAAGGTAATACTACTTTAATTGTCATGAGCTAGTGAGAAAATAAATGAAGCGAACCTCATACTTTACAGCTGGCTATCTAAATGAAGGTTTGCTTAGTTTTTTTAAAAAAATAAGTGGTCCGGAAGTGAAAGCCAAGAATATATGTCCGCTACTAGGTAGTATGTTTGGTATTATTATGACAGTAATTCATATACTACGTGCACTATATGTATAATGCTCACTCAAATTGTGTATTTTATATATATATATATATATATATATATAAGTTCTTAATCATTAGGGATTGATGACTATAGTGCATCTTGCTTTCTTACCTTAGTTTACTTGGCTTGTCCCTTGGCTGTGCCTCATTATGAATGGATTTACCCAATTCATTCCCCCCTTTCATTCCCCACTAAGATTTCTATTTCTATTTCCCTGAAAATGTGGGTAGAGTAGTTCCCCCATCTTCTCTGAAGGTCTGATCCCGGGAGGAAACCCTGGTTTAATCTGCCTGGAATTCTTTTGGATGTATAATTTACCTACCAGGTACCAGGGAGCTGATAGGCTGCAAGAAGGTTGTGAAGAGACTGAATGGTATTGACAATTGTCAACCAACCTTTCTCATTTGGTTTACTTTTGGACATAAATATATTGGATCTGACCCAATGATTGGTTATATAACTGTTGTAATTTTTTCATGTGATTGATGGGTGCAAAGTTTGTGTGTGTGTGTGTGTGTGTGTGTGTGTGTGATTAGCTACTCAAATATCAACATAATCTACAAATAAAACAGAGATTGAGCCTATTGCTTACTGTGGCAAAGGAGGACACCACTTCCATAAGCATGGGCAGTGTTTCAGAGGGTAAAGGTAAGGGTAGAGTTTATTAATAGTTGGAAGCCTGGCTTAAAGTGGGTTATACATTATCAGTCCATTGACTTTCTTCTTCAACATTGTGCTGTCCTAGGTCTTTTTCTTCTCCATACAAGCTTTAGAATCAATTTGTTGATATCTATAACATAAATTTCTGGGCATTTGGGATTGAATTGAACCTATAGGTCAAGTTGGGAAGAAGTGAGATCTTCACAATATTCTTACTATCCATGGACATGGAATCCTCCCCCATGTATTTAGTACTTTGATTTCTTTCATCAGACTCCATAGTTTTTCTCATATCAATTTTGTACATATATTGTTAGGTTTGTACTCAAGCATTTCTTTTTGTTTCTCTTTGGGTCATTTTGATATATGAGAGGTCTTCAAAAAGTTCACAGAAAATGTCCATTGTGTTTTAACTCTATTTTCCATGAACTTTTTGAAGTATGTTCATATTTTAATAATGCATTGTAGGTTTTTTTTTTATTTTAAATTCCACTTCTTTGTTGCTGGTATATAGGAAAGCAATTGGCTTTGGATATTATCCTTCTATCCTGGGAAAGTTTTTTTTAATAAAGATTTATTTATCTATTTATTTGAAAGGCAGAGATACATACAGAGAGGAAGAGAGAGAGAGAGAGAGAGAGAGAGAGAGAGAGAGAGAGAGATCTTCCACCTGCTGGGTCACTTCCCAAATGGCTGCAACTGCCAGGACTGGCCTAGGCCAAAGCCAGGAGCCAGGAGCTTCTTCCAGGTCTCCCCTGTGGATAGCAGGGCCCAAACACTTTGTCCATCTTCCATTGTTTTCCCAGGTGGATTAGTAGAGAGCTGGACCAGAAGTGGAGCAGCCAGTGGATCACAATGGATCATAAACTGGTGCCCAAATGGGATGCTGTTGTCACGGGCAGTGACTTAACCTCCTAGGCCACAGTGCTGGCCCCAGTGGGGAAATTCATGTAATGACCAAACTATTTGCTTAGCAGGACAGTCCTGGCAAATAAAGAATGGCTAATAAAGACATCAAAATAACAAAATTCCAATAACGTAGATAGTAAAGTGTGGCTTCAGTTCTCACTCAGAGTTCAGGCTGAGTGTGAGGCTAGTCAGTTCTTATCCTCAGTCCCTCCTGTGCCTGTTCATCAGTCCAAGACAGAAAAATCATTAATATCTGAGTATGTGATCATTCCAGACCTTCACTGTCTGAGGCATCCCAAATGCACGTTAAGTTTCTGTCTATGGTTGTTTTAATATCCAAGTTTCTAGTGGCTGCTGTCTAAATCTCTGTTTTGCTACACTTTCTGCAGTATGACCAATTTCTAGATCATTCAGTAGAGACCACATATCTAAAAATGCAAAACAGACAAAAGGTTAAAAAGGGATTATGATCAGAGTTTTAGCCCACGTCTCAGTCAGGAGCCAAGAATTCCTATATTAGGCTGCTGCCGTGGCTCACTTGACTAATCCTCCGCCTGCGGTGCCAACACCCCAGGTTCTAGTCCCGGTTGCTCCTTTTCCAGTCCAGCTCTCTACTGTGGCCTGGGCAGGCAGTGGAGGATGGCCCAGGTCCTTCCTCCTGGGAGACCAGGAGGAAGCACCTGGCTCCTGGCTTTGGATCGGTGCAGCGCGCAGGCCATGGCGGCTATTTGGGGGGTGAACCAATGGAAAAATGAAGACTTCTCTCTCTCTCTCTGTCTAACTCTG